TAGTTCACCGATAAGGGTATTACTTAAGCTGTCTGTCGATTTACTGTTTTGCTTTTCAGCAGTTTCTCCAGCTTTACCTTCTTTGCTGCCGATTTTTCCTTTCCCAATTTTGCCCATTACTCAACGTTCAATAGAGCGAGACAAAAAAACTTGACTGCGACACTTTTCCCGGGAAAATCTTGATAAATTGTCACTGACGCCAGGAGGTCCCCTCTTCCCATTGGTTCGCGGTTTCAGGAAGCGAGATAATCTCCTGGCCCCGGTTGTTCAAAGGATGGATAACGCTATACACTGGATAAATCTCTATCCGGTGGACAGCGCAGTACGTTTTGGTCACACTTATCCGCTGGATAGCGATTAATCCGTTGGATAGCGTTATCCACCCTTTGAACAACTGGAGCCTGGTGTGGCGCTAGTCGTTTACAAACCTAGAGGGGCTAAAATTTCGTACTTGATTTTGAGAGTAATACATCCACTTTGAGCGAATTCATAGAATATGTAGATTTGACCGCTTATCGTGAAATTTCGCCAAAACATTCTAGGCACGATGACGAACAAAAGTGTGCCAGGAAATTTTGATACTTGAAATATTTTTCACATGGTGTTCATTTACGCAGCACGTTTCGCATAATTCAAGCTAATCTAACTTTAGATGCGGATATCTAGACAACCAATCAGAATATCGGAAAAGCCTGACACGCTTTTGTTGATTGATGCCTTGTGAATAAGACCGTGCAGCCATTTTTCTCCCGCTGCAGGACTCGATACCCGACAAATTCAATAGACGGACCTGTTATAGTGTGATTCAGTCAAAAATCAACAATAAACTGAGGTTTTCAATGCCCACTAACTATAAAGTTCGATCGTCTAACGCGCACATGGCTTCCCGTGTTCGGGGTGCCCCTGAAGTCATTCAGGGGTCCCTAAGGGAATCCCCAAAGGTTTCAATATTACAACATCTCCCCCCTAACATGACTCAATGAGTGTCTGCGGCCCCCTAACTCGACGCCCAGATCTGGTTCTAATGGGAGGGGTTCAATTGTTTCTGTCTGTCTCTCTGATGAGACTGGACTTGACGCAGGCTTCTCAAGTGCAGGCGCCGGTCTTGTACTCGCAAGAGAGTCATGAGGTTGTGTACTCGTGGGAAGAGCCCTTGCCCTGGGTGTCATGGGAGAGTCATTTGGAACAGCGATGATATGCCTTCTGTTTCTGTTGTAAGTACCTCCATATTCATCTATCAGCATGTATGATCTTGGCATAATTTCCGCTTTGCGCCATTCCTTCTCACCATTTGGACGAAACCGCACCCTGTCCCCAACGTCAAGTGGAGGCAAATCACTACTCTGCTTGTCGTAATTAGACTTGGCATTATGCTGTCGATGATCAAGCGTTTTCAGAACATCATCGCGATCCACTGGCTGAGGTAACAAGAGACGTTGATGAGTTGGTATCATTGTTCGAGTGCGCCGACTCATCAGCAGCTGTACAGGTGACACACCAATATCTTCGAATGGGGTGTTACGATACTTTAACAGTCCCTCAAATGGGTCTTTGTTCTCTGCAGCAGCCTTCTTAAGAATGCGTTTTTCAGTCTGTACAGCTCTTTCCGCTGCCCTTTGGATTGGGGATACTCTGGTGAGCTGGTTATATGGGAAAATCCCCACTCTTCAGCAAATCTCTTGAACTCGTGGTTTCTGCTCAACAAATGTCTGGTGTTGCTGTATTGCGGTCCTTTGTCACTGACAACTTTGTCTGGGATTCCAAACCTGGCAAATATTTTCTTCAAGTTGTTGTTAACACAAGTAGCATTGTTCTGGCGAAGTAGTACTTCGAATAGAAGTCATGACTAACAGGTACGTTTGGCCACTAGATTCAAACAGGTCAGTCCCAACTACTTGCCAAGGTAATCCTGGAATGTCATGAGGATGTAATGTCTCTTTCTGTTGTCGGTTGCGGAACGCATTACACACAGCACAGGAACTGACTTTGTCTTTGATTTGCGCAGTCATGGAAGGCCAGAAAACGTAATCCCTCGCAAAGGAAAGGTTCTTGCTCTCTCCCATGTGGGCACCATGAATTTCATCTGGCACTTCAGCTCTCAATGGTCGTGGCACTACAATTCTGTCTGATTTAAATAACATAACATCCTCAACACTTAGCTCTTCTCTGAAACTCCAATATTCCCAGGCAAGTTCATCAACTTGTTCTTTCGCAGAGGGCCATCCTCTCAAAACGTACTCCATAACTACTCTAGAAGTCTCATCACCACTTGAGCTCTTCTTGATTCTCTTCAGAGTACTGCTTTCTAATCCAAATTCCTCTACAAGATTAACTCCTATGACATCTTCAGGTTCGCTGAATGGTTTGGTTTCACTAAGAGGTGCTCTGCTAAGGCAGTCTGAAATGACCTGCTGTTTTCCAGGAACGTAATGCACCACAAGGTCATATTTTGTGAGTTTCAGCAACATCCTCTGTAGCCTTGGAGGGGCCTCATTCAGTGGTTTCCCAAAACTTGACTCCGATGGTTTGTGGTCTCTTTCAACAATAATTTTGCGCCCATACGCATATGTGAGAAATTTTTGCACTCCCCATACAATGACCAACAATTCTCTATCAATATTTGCATACATCTTCTCTGAGGGAGTCAGTGTCTTCGAACTGAAGGCAACTAGTTTGCCCTCCTGCTTGATTACTACGCCAAGGCCTGTGCTACTGGCATCAACACATAGCACTGTCTCTTTGCTGTTATTAAAGTATGCTAACACTGGTGAACTAGTGATGACAGACTTGAGCTTATCAAAAGCCTCTTGTTGTGGCTTCTCCCACACAAATGCCATATCTTTCTAGGTAAGCTGCGAAATTGGCTCTTGTAGATCAGCTTTGTGTTCAATGAACTTGTCTAAGTAATTGACAGTTCCTAGTATTCGAAGTACACCTTCTTTGTCAGAAGGAGGAGGCATCTCACTGATCGCGCGGATCTTATCACGGTCAGGTTTCAATCCCTAGGCTGAGAACACATGTCCAACATAGCTTACTTCAGGAACACGAAGTTTCACTTTCTTTGGATTGAACTTCAAACCTACTTCTCTGCTTCTAGCCAGTACTCTTCTCAGTTTCTGATCAGTGTGGATTTGATCCTTACCATGTATCAGGAAATCATCCACTATAATCTCCACAGGAACTCCTTCAAAGAGTTTGTCCATCTCTCTATGGTAAATGTCAGGGGCAGAAGAGATGCCAAAAGGGAGCCTTGTAAAGCGAAATCGACCCCATGGGGTATTGAACGTTAAGAGCTTTGAGCTTTCATCATCCACCGGGAACTGCCAGTATCCACTGCAAGCATCCAGGGACATGAAACTTTTTGCACCCGATATTCGGTTGGCAACCTCCTCTACAGTAACCATTGGATAATGCGGCGTGTTAAGAGCTTTGTTTAGGTCTCTTGCGTCAATACAAATTCGAACATCTTTCTTTGAGAGTGGAGTGTTCTTTTCTTTTACTTTCCGTTTGTCAATCACTAACGTAGATGAAACCTAAGGGGTGTGTTCCTCCTCTTTTACAGTAATCCCATCCTCTTCCATCTCTGTGAGCTTCTCTCGTCGTGTTGATTCAAGAAGTGCAATTGGAAGTTTTCTTGGAGGATGGATGACTGGAGGAACTGACGGATCAACTTCCAAATGTACTTTCTTCGGTAGCTTGCCAGGTTTATCACTAAAGCAATCTTTGTGTCTTTTCTTGAACCCCGACTTTCTTGAGAGGGTGAAGTGACCGTTCAGAGCCCACCATGGTTGGTGTATTGAATTTGTATTTCTGGTTTTCGGCTGCCTCGAATGCACGGCAATAATCAGGAGTAGTCTGCAGCGTTAAATCTGGTTTCTTCAGCAGTTCACCTCGCAATTCGTCTGACAAAACTCCTCCAACAATACGATCACGAATGAGTGAATCTCGGAGGTCGCCAAATTCACAAGTTAAAGAGTC